ATGTATATTAAGGTTTATTTTTGTCTTTTGGGTTTATGCTGTATGGCTGTCTGGAATGGGGGGAATTGTGTGTTAAACCCAATAAAAAGTTGTTGTTTTTTTTAAGTTAAAAAGAAAACAGCCTCTACATCTGTTTGTGATTGTGTTGTCTTTCTGCCTGCACAGAGATTTATCCAGGACCCATATGCCACCACATTTGGTGGATTCTCCAAAGTCACCAATTTCTTCAAGGCAGCCCTTCGACCTCCAGATTCCTCCGCCTACTCGCGTACTGCTCAGGATCCCAGTTTCCCCCTCCAGCCCGATGAAGAGCCCGGCTTCGAACTCATCACATGTGTAAGAGAAGGAGTCAAAAAAACAATTTAGAGCACCAGTCATGTCTAAAAGACAGACACTATAGATTGTTATAATGTTAGTAGACATAGTGTTTGCATCTGTCTTTCCATTTAGGGGGTAGAACTCGGTCCCAGACCAGACGTAACCAGGGGAGAACCTATGGACAAATGGCAGGAGTTTCTGGACCCACAGGGGCGAGTGAAGAACCCAGAGGGGATCAAAAAGCTTGTGTTCAGAGGGGTAAGACAGTAACAGTAGCAGTATATCTCCTATCTGGAAGACACACTTGGTTTATTTTTTTCAAACTTCTATTCTACCAGATGTGTGGTGGTGGTTCGGTTTATACCGATTTCTTGTCCATTGCAGGGGCTCACACCTAACTTCTGGAGGAACGGGAGGGTTTGGGAAGTTCCTCCTGCGGCTTGTTATCCAGGGAACAGCATCCTACCAAGGAAAGGGGAGGACCATTCTGCGGGTTCAAACCGTTTAGGTGTTTTTATTACTGAGGCTATCTCATCCTAACCCTGGGGGGCGGGGGGGTTGGGGAATACGTCATTGCTTTCTTGCCGAGAGATAGATGAGAAGATTAAAATCACTCTTGTGTCTTGTCGGTTAATACCGCTAGCAGCCATTTAGCTTGCCAGTTGCCAGGCAACCAGCGGAGACTCCAGGAAGTGACTGCATTTGGCCAAGAAACAGCCACACACACATTTTTTTCGCACTTCAGTTTTTGTACAGATTACACAAACGAGATGTAACGTGTTAATGAGTGAACTTTAGAGATGTTGTCAGGTGGATTTTGTTACTTTTAGACAGCAGGGTGTACGTGGAGTCTTAAAAAGTCTTAAATATAATTATGACAAGTATTAAAACATTATTTGATGAGTTGTATAAAGTTGCATTTTTCAATCTCACTTTTTTGGGAAAAAATTTATTAATCATGCTCTAACAACTACAAAACGAAATTGACATGAAACCAATACTGATTTTCCTCCATATCCTTCCTTTTATTTAGCTAGTAAGCATTTAAAATTGGTCTTAAATTGTATTCGTAGTGGTCTTAAAAGGTTTTTTAATCTAACTTGTTGAAACCTGCACAAACTCTGGTTCAGCCTAGCTAGCCTTTCCTCCCTGTTTGCAGTCTTTGTGCTAAGCTAACTGGCCATTGCTTCATATTTGCGTCACAGTGTGGTATCAAGCTTCTCATCTAGCTCTCGGCAAGAAAGCGAATAAGCGTAGATTTCCTTTAGGAAGTCGGTGACTGTAATGCCTTTCTGTGTCTGCAGGGATGAGTATTTCAGAATGAAGGTGCAGTGGAAGTCAGTCAGCGAAGAGCAGGAGATGAGGAACTCTCTCCTCAGAGGATACAGAAGCCTGATAGGTCAGTCCTGCAATCTGTCCAAAAACAGCAGATCTGTTCACTGACTCAGTCAGCTGCCTGTGAGAGCTGCAGTAGATTTTGAAGTTGAACTTGTCTTTGTTCTGTTGTGACAGAGAGAGATGTCAGCAGGACAGACCGACACAATACGTTCTTCTCTGGGAACGACAATCCAGGCCTGACTCTGCTTCATGACGTGCTGATGACATACTGCATGTACAACTTTGATCTTGGTGTGTATTTCTACATTGTTAGCAAACGAAGGTGCACCAATACTAATCGCATTTCAGTACTAATACGGATGTAAATGCAACAAAAGCAAGTTATTTCTTGTAAAGTAGTTGCTGGAACAAGAGCATTGTATGTCTTTAATCGGATTATGTGCTTACAAATGCTTCGTAGTCTAACTAATCCTAAAAAAATAATCCCAAAATACAGATGTTTTTGTTGCTTACAGTTCACTTCATGACCATTAAAGGGATGTTTTAGGTTCATGTTTCTCAAACGTTTCGATGTCAAGGACCCCCAAACTGATACACATCAGGCTGTGGACCAGTATTTGATAAGATGTACTCTCAGGGTTCCCAGATATTCCATAACTGTCTATTCTGATGGAAGATTAACATTAAAGAGTGTGAAACATATGAACAATAGTCATACCTATTCATTCTCTCAGTAGGCTTACTTCTAGTCAAATAATAATAGTGAAATTCAAATATTTTTCCATTTTTCTGGGCAACTCTTAGTTGAAAACTACTGTTTTAGATGATTTGAGTTGGTAGTAATCATTCAGTAGAACCTGTCCATGTCACCTTAACACTGTTGTTTACATCCACCCAGGTTATGTCCAGGGGATGAGTGATCTCCTTTCTCCTCTCCTGTTTGTCACCCAGAATGAGGTGGAGTCCTTCTGGTGTCTGACAGGCTTCATGGAGCTGGTGGTTAGTAGTAATATCTGTCTTTTTTTTTTTAGGAAACCTGTGACCTTATTTGAATTTCAGTCAAAAACAAGTTTAGTTTCGGTTGTTCCATCTACTTGCATTAAATAGAGGCATCAAAGGTCATTTAGTGGCTGTACAGCTGTGTCACTGGATTCACAGGAATCAGTGATTCAGCTCAGCACAAACTCAAAACAGAAAGATTGACTCAAAAGCTTGAATACAAACCTTATTGTTCTTGCTTTGTGCGGTCAGTTAAATGTTTCCAGTGTTGCTTCATCAGCAGTTCTGATTTTAAATGAATCCAGAAAGCTCACACTGTTAAATGTGTGGGTTGGATGACTTTCAGTTTGATCTTTGTTAAGTTGTCAAACTGAATAAATATATATAAATAACTGTATTTTGAAATGTGTTCAGTTATGAGTAAATTAGTCCATTTCCATGTAGAAAACTGTCGACTTGAGGTCACTGAGTGTCTTAAGTCTTTCCCCTTTCCCTCTGCAGCACCAGAACTTTGAAGAGTCTCAGGAGGCCATGAAGCAGCAGCTCCTTCAGCTCAGTGTCCTGCTGAAGGCTCTGGACCCGGAGCTGTGTGACTTCCTGGGTTAGTCAGCTAATACTCATCGGCATAGCAGAAGTTATTAGGACAGTGCAAAGAAAGGTAGAGCGGAAACAAGACTAAAGCAGATGAGAGGCTATTGTATGGTATTATGCATCATACATTATGTATTAAAGTACACACACTCATCTGCAGATGGGGTGCACACCATGTTAATATTCATGATAGTATCAGTGTATGCTAAAAGAGGAAGTGAATTTCCAGTGTAAAATGTTCTTAAGACAAAACTCCTAATATTACTTGTTTACAAGAAGATCATTGTTCTTTTTTTATTGGTCTTAAAATTACAAAAAAACAAAAGCTCTTTGTTCCATCAGATTCTCAGGACAGCGGCTCGCTTTGCTTCTGTTTCCGCTGGCTGCTCATCTGGTTCAAGAGAGAGTTTTCCTTTGAGGACATCCTCATCTTGTGGGAGGTGAGTGCACCACAGCTGCATTTACTTATATATATGGGTATTTTTATTATGTTAAAACATGCTAAATTATTGTCAAGTGAGATAAACAGTCCAGTCCTGAACCTTGATGGTGTTTAAGACTGTACCTGACTGAATTTTGTCAGTTGAATTGGCTGTTCAGTATAAGATTACATCAAGATTTGATATTCGTTCCTCTTTCTTTCAGTTCAGCACCACATTAAACTCCTATATCAGCAGTTCCAGCAGGAAGTGTGGCTACATGAGTCTCATGTTTTAATGCCTTTTTGTCATTTGTGATGTGAAAAGTGTGCGTCCTGCTCATAGTTCAGTTATAAAGGAAACCACGGAGCGTCTGTCTTGCCGGCTTGCTGAGAGCGTTGTCAGCCGTAGAGTCAATCACAGTTGGCAGCAGTAGAGGAGGTTGTACCACCGTCTGGTTCAAAAGATTTAGCCACCTTCACTGTCAGTCAGCAGAGCAGAGAGCATCGGAGCAGCCATCAGACTGGAGCTGTGCTGCCCTGCCTCACGTTGTCCAGCTTCACGCTGCCCCCCGTCAGCTATCACTCTCCACTTCCATTTAGTTAACCCATTTAGGTTATTTTGTGTCTCGGTTAGTAAAGTTTACAGCCTGCCATGCTGTCACTATGTGTACAATTACAGAGCTAAAAAACAAAAGTGCAGAGATTAGACTGACAAAATGGGAGTTAACTTGCGATCTTCTTGTGTTCTCTTATGATGTTGATGTTATTGTGCAACTTCTTATGTAGCAAAATGTGTTTTGTAACATCCTCTTGTCTTCCTCAGGTCCTCTGGACTCGTCTTCCGTGTGACAACTTCCACCTGCTGATCGCCTGTTCAATCCTGCAGTCCCAGAGAGGAGAGCTGATTGGCTCAGACCACGACTTCAACACTATTCTGAAGGTCTGTACTGTGTGTGTTTGTGAATGTGAGACAGGAGTTCAGTTACTTGTCTATAACTTGTGTGAATTCTCTTCAGCACATCAATGAGTTGACGATGAAGTTGGACCTGCAGAGTGTTCTGCGTGGAGCAGAAGCCATCTACCTACAGCTGACTCAGTGCAAGGTAAGAGGTGCTAGGGCCAGTAAGATTCATCACGTAGTCAAAGTCTGTGTCCAAATTTGATTTTGCAGTTGTGGTTATAATAAAGAAACATTTCTAGAGCAAAAGTGTATTTTCAAAGTTAAATCTAAAAAATAGTCTCTATGGAAGCTTCTCCTCTCCAAGCCCGAATCTGAAAATGGAAAATGACTCTTTGCCTGAACACTAAAAGGCCACAACCTTTCATGAGGGATCACAAGGAGACATTTCTTCATTTCAAAGGGTCACAGGGCAGAAATGATGGGGCTGTAGTGTATTTGTGTCCCCAATTTTAGGACAAAAAAGAGCTCTTTAGTGTTATGAGTCAAGTCTTTACACGCAAACATTACCTTTTGTGTTCTTATTTCCTAATTTGTTAGACAAACGTAAGTATATTTTTAGAAATTAAATGGTATATGCACATGCGCCACAATAATGATAATCAGTCATTTCTGTTTCATTAAGTTCATATTACACACTGTTTATACTGTATACTGCTCTATCCATCAATTGTAGCTTTTTCCAATTTAAAAATGTTCCAGCAGTTTCATTTCTCTGTATCCTTTTAGAGTTTAGTATATCTGTGCCTCACTAATGTTTTATAAGTGGATCAGTTGCATTTCAGACACCACATTAGAAAAAAATAGGGGGGATTTATAAATAATAAATTGTTTTTTTCAGGTTTTCCACATAGTAAATCTGACAGTAAAAAACAGTATTAGCATGCATATTGCATGAATTTGACACCTCTTCTCTTCCTCTGCGCTCCCCAGGAGCTTCCCCTCAAGGTGCAGCAGGTTCTGGGTCTCTACATCCCCTCCAGCTCTGAGGAGGACAGCACAGACTCGCAGGCCAGCGAGACACAGCGCCTCCTCAGCCAATCGCAGGCTGGAGCTGCTTCGTCTAATTCAGCATGCGGTCCCACCTCTCCCTGAACCTGCAGGCCAGCTGATGGACTGACAGTCATTGAGAAATGTATGGAAGATGTTTATATATAAAAAAATATATATATATACTGTGTATGATCCAATGGAAGAATGAAGACTGTTGTTACTGTTTGTCAGGGACAGGGGGCGATGTTGAGGGTTTTTTTTTCTTTTAATGTACTCATGAATGTTACAATTCAAGATGTTTAAACACTATAGTCGTGCTTGCAGTGCTCTTTCTTTCTGTATGTTATCCTCCTCTTTTTTTGTCACTTGTTTACATGTCCTGTGTCTCTGCTGAACCGTTCTGCCATCCTTTCTGCTTTCCGTCCTCCTTCTCATGCTGCTGTTTTACCTTTTTCCCAAATTATTTAACAATTGTATGCGTCTCTGCTTGTCACTTGTGTTGCAGTGTACTTTCAGTGCGTTTTGTTATGTTTGGTTGAGATTTTCCCTTGCGTCCCCTCGCCACAGTTCCTGAAAAAGGGAAGAAGTTGAAGGATAAGCTCACTGGCAGCGCCTTGTTAGTACTGTATGATGCCATTCCAGCCCTATGCAAAGTTTTTGCATGCCTTATAGGTTTCACAAGTGGCGTGGTAATATTTTAAGCCTTGTAATTATCTGTATTATGTCATAACGTTTTCATCCGCTCATTATTACCAAATAAATGGTTGAATCTTAATGAAGCAAGGTATAACTTTATGTTTTTTACTTTCAGGCACCAGTCTGTCTCTCCCAGCAGGTCTACTCACAGCCGGCATCTTGATTATTTATTTCTGTACGTAGTATAGACCACTGCCAGATATTACAGACTCCACAATTACCATAAAGCTGAATCATCACCTCTTTAAAATGCTTTCAACAAAAAACGAACATTATAACTTTCCTGAGGGTAGCATTTATTGCAGGGCTGTTAAAATATAATATAATATAAACCTGCAACTGAGCAAAGATAGGTTCTAATATAAATACATTAAACTTGACGAGAAATGAGACAAAACAACGGGAAAGTGAAGAAACTCTTACAAAACAGCACTAATGTAACAAGAAAACATTCAAAAAAGCAAAAATCAACAAGAAATCACAGTAAACACAAACAATGATCCAAGAAAATTACCATAAAACTCAGTGACAAGCGCCAGATCATTCATGACTGATCCCTCTTTAAAATCTGTTTCACCTTGAGTGTAAAATGATCCAGTAATGATCCATTTATCTGTAGAGAAAGAGTTCATTGTATTGATCCCCGAACAGAAACAGAGTTACTGAGCCAGAAACCCTGAGAGGTGCCACCATGTCACTGAGCACTTAAGGAGCCTGATTATTTAGACATCTATGAGTTTAATAAAGCTAATTTAATGAAATAATCTAAACCTATTTACGGTAACACTTAATTTTTTTTCCTCCTATTAGCAAACTTGTAGTATTTGGTTTATAAAACAATATAACGTTGTAAGCAGATTGAGGTCTTTTTAAGTGTATATTGATGTCTTTGTCAACAACTTAAACTGACATAAACATAATGAATAATAGTTGTATTTAAGTTAAAAATTAAGTTATAATTGTTGAAAACATTAATTAACACTTGAAATTCTTTTTTTCAAATTTTAAAAAGACAATCTGAGAAATAGTAATTATTCCAGTGTAACAGTAACAACTGTTTGTTTATGTGGTGTTTTAACTTGTGAACTGGTTAAACTTTGGCCTTTCCCCTCTCCTCCCCCACTGGCCAGCAGGTGTCTGTGTGAGGTGAATGGCTGAGGGGAAAATAGGACCTCTGTTCTCCACTGTCCCGGGAAATGAGCTGGAAAATGAGGGGCGGGGAACCACACCCCCTTCTCAGGACCCGCTGCACTCCTCTTTTGGCTCGTCGCTGTCTCTGTCACCCTCGATCCCTGTTGTTTGAATACAGCTGCGATGTATGAATTTAGCAGGGTGCTTAAACAGGCCGACGATCTGTCACTCTGCCCCTCCCCTCCCTCCGTCCACCCCAGCCTGACCTCACTTGACTGGCAGAGCCAAACTTACTCAGTCCTTCATTCAAACTCAATCTGCTTTCAGCCCCTCTCAAAGCCTGTTTTATAGGCGAAGGCCTTGTCGACAGCTTTAAACCCCATATTCTCTCACTAATGCTACAATCGACTAAGTGTTAGAGGATTATGGCCTCTTCGTGTTGTCATTATGCTGAGTGACTTTGAAAAGCTGTTATCTGCAGTAGATGATGTGGTTGAAGCTTCATGCTTGAGATTTGAGCCTGATTGAGTAGTATGGCATCAGCAAAATGTACTTCAAGTATCAAAAGTAAAAGTACTCATAGTGCAGTAAAATGGTTTTTGGATTAATGCTTCTGCTGTAAGGTTGAGCTAATTTTAACTACTTTATATACTGTTGGGTAGTCTACAGCAATACATCATAATCTTTAAGATCGGTATATGTTTGTAGCGTCACTTTAAATAGTTTATTTAGTTGAAGAAGTAGGAGGATTTTCTCAACCCATGAAGGAACTCTTCAGTTTATCAAAAGAATCAGAATCACAGGGAGGGTATAAATTGTAATCTGAAAAGTAACTAAAGCTGTCAGACAAAATGCAGGGGAGTAGAAAGTACAAGCATAAAAATGGAAGTAGAAGTACCTAAAATTTGTACTTAATTACAGTACTTGAGTAAATGTGCTAGTTAAATTCCATCGCTGTGTGGCACTTTACATTTCTCGAGGTGCGTTTGGTGATTTTACCAGTTTCATTATTATTCGGCCTGTTTTATACACTAGTGATGTTTTATAGTCTTTTATTTTAAGTTTAATTTAAACACTTTTTAAATTATGCAGATGAGTATAAATTACATAAACTGTCTCTACATATTTTTTACCTGCAGAAGAGAGTCCCACCTTATCAGGTTGACTCACGACTTTATAAGAGTATTTTAAAGGTGAAACTATTGCTGTGTTGATAAAGGTAGACTGTAAGACACAGTCTGGTCACAGGGGTCACAGGGTGAACATTATTGCCACTGATATCTGCCTCCACATTGATGGTTTAGACTCTTCAGAGCCAGCTGCAATAAATTTAAAACATTATTTTTTAATATAACTGGAATTACCAAGAAGATAATCCCAGTCTTATTATCCTATTTTCTGGTTTAACTTGTTTTAATTTGTTTTAACTTACTTCATTCTGTATTTATTGTTATTGTGTGCTACTCTTTCTAAATCATATTAATGAATTAAACCGTGATGTTTCTCTTAACTGTATTCCACTTGTTTTGGACAGTAAAGTCAACATCTGCTCTGAGTCTTTTGTGCTAACAGTGTTTTTGTTTCCGATATATTGAACCCAAAAGTGTCTTATTTAAAAAGCAGGAATTCCAGCCATGCAACGACAAAGTGTGTCCATATGGCAGCAGGTTCTGTTACTCAGTGTCTGTGGAAAGGGTTCCTCACTGCTATAAATTCAGAAATTGAAATTTAGCTGTACAATATAGTAAAAATCTTTTTTTTCTGGAATTCCTATTTGTAAAATGTGAAATCTAGTTTCTGTTAATGTTGGGTGTTAACCATATTATACCACTACTGACAGCTTCTCTTTACCTATAATATATATGTTTGTTGTGGTGGAATTTGACTATGTGCATTTACTGCAGTAGTGCAACTACTGTACTCAAATACAAATTTTTAGATAGTATTAGGTAGTATTTCCATTTTCTGCCACTTTATACTTCTGTTTGACTACAAATATGGAAATACTGCACTTTATACTGCACTACATTATTTGACAACTGCAGTTACTTTACAGATTAAGATTTTAAAACAACAAAAACATATGATGAGTTTATTGAATATAGATTACACTCCCCAACCAAACATAAAATAGCTAAATTGACCTCCATCTCAACCACCTACAACAGTAAAATGTTACTTATACATGAATGCATCAGTATTTATAATGTAATATATAATGGTAGAAGACTCATTCATGTCTGCACCATGAATACCTTTGATAATTTTGCTAATAATACTATATTAATACTTTAAATTCTAAATTAAAATTAAAATTTAATAAAAATACGTGATTTTAGTAGTGAAGTGAAATTTCCAGTGCAGGACCCTTTGTAATTAAGTTTTTATATTGCAGTCTTGCTATTTTTACTTAGTAAAGGATCTGAATACGTCCTCCACTGCTGTATGTCAGATAAAATATAAAAGTATCAGTCAAAATGATGTCTTATTGAGTTAAAGCAAAGTAACTTAATTACATTCATGATAATCTTTCTAAGAAATATAGTAGAGTTTCTAATATTCTCCTCAAATGTCCTGATAAACAGACTTGATGGAATCATGTCCAATAAAATTAATTTAGTTATTTTTATCACAAAAAAGTTTCAATAAGTTTTAAATCCGATATTATGAACCTGAATCAGTCATAGTTAGTGAAGATGCTCTTCAGCTCTACGTTGAATAGAGCATGAATAATTGATGCTCAGCTGAAATCAAGTCATGCTGGTGTCCTGGTGGCCGTCCATTTAACTCCTATTAGAAACATGAGCTGCCATTGAAAACCTTAATGTGTGAATAGCCACCTGTAATGACTGTCAAATACAATCTGTATTCTCCACTGGTGAGTGCGACCCCATTGTGACCATCAGAGGAGTCCCCGGGGAGTGTGTGAAAAGTGTGTCTACCCCATGAATGTGTGGAGTGTGTGTGAGTGTGGGGAGCCAGCAGCAGGCAGAAGGCCAGGAGCTGTTGTCTGACACTGATTTGTAAAGGGAGACAATACGGCTCATTGACCTGCCCGGCTCCACTGTCTGTTGCACATACCTCGCCCAGCCCTCCCCAGTGGCTTCGCTGCTCTTTAAACACGAGCAGCAGATTGCCACAGGCGCAGGGAGGGGAGGCCAATGGGACACAGGTTGCTTTGACAATGAGAAACCTCAGAGAAAAGAGGGAGAGAGGGGGCAGAGTCAAACTTTGATGAACACATTTACAGAGAAAAAATATAGAAACCTTATTTTTACCAGCTGCAGCTTTTAAATCGCTTCTCAAAAAAATCTATTAATGATTTGTCATCAGTTTTATTATTGTTGTTGTTTTTATCTTATATTATTACTGTTTTAACTTAGAAATGTGATCCTATACTACAAAATATAAGATAAATACAGTATTAGAGTCCTGTTTCCCCCTAAATCTTAATCATGTTTGGTTCATGAAATGTCAGAAAACAGTGAAAGAAATTCCAAGAAAGTCCAGTGTCTTCAAATCATTTGTTTTGTACAAAATTAGTCAATTTACCATCACTTAAAACTGAAATAATCTCATTTGAGAAGTTGGAACTTGGCAAAAAAATTTAATTATTAGTCTATTATCACAATTGTTTCTGATTAATATTCTGTTGATTAAATAATTGATTAATTTAGTATTTATTTCAGCTTTATTTTCCTTTACTGATTGCTTAATTTTAATCATTTCTCCTGAGGAGGTAAGACTAGTTTTATTGTGTATTTCACAAGATTAAAGTAAAAATTAATGAAATGTCTAATTAAAAGAAATACAACAACAGTATTGTTCTTATTATTATTAATAATTATACATTAAAATATTCAGTGCAAAAATAATAATAAGTAAAAACAAAAATAATCTGAACCAAAATGAAGTTAAACATTAAACTAAAGTGCATGTAATAAACATCAGTAGTGGAGGATATTGATCTAACAGCAGCAGGATTTAACATCCATCCAGACTCTGACACATTTCCTCTCGTGCTCGCGTTGTAAACAAACACCATCACCCTTTTGTCATCCATTCCCATTGTCAGAGTCTGGATGTGACCTTTTCTCTCCTCTCCCTGCCTCTCACCCCTCGTAGCCTTTTCTTTTCCTCCCTTCTCTCTTTCACTGCCGATGACAAGCTGTTGCTCTGTCCCTGCGGGCCACTCCCTCACTTGTCTGCTCCTCTTTTCTCCTCCCCTGCCTTCCTCTCTTCCCTGCTCTCCTTCTTTCTCCCTCTCCCCACCTGTTGGAGCAATTGTTGCACAGACCATATTGTTGTCTTCTTATTATTTTATGTCAGTCAAGAGGGTCCCTGCCCCTTTTCTACGGCCTTTTCCCATCCCTCTGTGCCACTCCCTTTTTCTCTCTCCCTGCTGGGTATAAAACTCAGAGACAAGAGTGGAGGAGTGATATTCAGCTGAGCACCACAGGAAGTCACAACTATTTCAACAAGGACAAAGCTGCAGGGGTTTCCCAGCTTCCGGTTACCTGCACAACATTCAACTTCCTCAGGTGACAGAGGGACACTAGCTGCTGCATTTCTTTGGACATAAACAAGTTTATATTTTACCCAGCAGGCTGTGCAAATGGACAAAAGCATGTCTGTGTCTCTGTGGTGTGAGGAGGTGGAGGATGACCAGAGCCAGGAACAGAGCCAGACCGAGGCACAGGCCCAGGGACACATCACAGGCTCGTCCCAGCTGCGAGCCGCCTGGGACCCCACTGTGTCTGGGCATCGAGTGATCCAGAGGCTGCTTCATGTGGAGGAGAGGTACATGCCCTCCCTGCTCTACATCACCCTCATCCAGCGGGATCCAGAGCGCAGGGAGGAGCTCGCCAAATGGGCCCTGGAGGTATGAAAGTCTCTCCATGCTCCAGTTTCTCCGTTTACCTCATGGTGCTGGATGTCATCGTGGCAGCTGTGATTCTGATGCCTCACATCTTTTTTTTTTCTTCTCTCCAGGTGTGCTGTGAATGTGGCTGTGATGAAGCAGTATTCCCCCTGTCTGTCTCTCTGATGGACAGGTTCCTGTCTGCCTCTTTGTCTATACCTGTCTCACCGTACTGCCTGGCTGCTGGCTGCATCCTCATCGCCTCCAAACTTGCAGAGTGCGACAACGTCAACGCTGATACTCTCTGTGCTGCAGCTGAATACAGCTTTCAGCCTTCCAGCCTGCGGGTGAGTCAGTCACACAGCATCCACACAGTAGCTAATGGAAAACCTTAAAGACCCTCTTTTTCGGGGGTCCTTAATATTGCCACCTTTAATCCCACTTGCAATGACATTGAGTGTAAACTCAGTTAAACCTTGATTTTAAATTTAGAATACACATCTTTAACAGTGTTATTATTCTTCAACCTATAAACTGTATAACACAAATGATAAGAAGGTTTCACTGATTTGTCTCTTTTGATGATTGTGTGCCTTAGTACATCCAACTGGAAGACAACACATAAAACTTAAATTTCTTTTAACATTTCTTTCAAAATTACAGATTACTTCATTTGTATTTGACCGATCAATCGAAGAACCCAAAGTGATGCGTATGGATGACACTGACAAAATAATTAGGGATGCAACTAATGGCTGTTTTCATTATCAGTTACACTTAAATAACCTTTTTGTCAATTATTCTATGAAATTTCAGAAAAAAGGGAAAACATTCCAATCACAACTTTCCAGAGTGTACGATGAAATATTAAAATACCTTGTTTTGTCTGATAGAAAGTCCTAAACCCAAAGGATTTAAGTTTCAGAAGCTGGAACCTGAGAAACTGGATCTTTTCTTCCACAATTTCTGCTTAATAAATGATGGAAAGTTATCAAAATAGCTGCTGTCAATCAACTAATTGATTTACCACAATGCTTAATACTTTAATTCAATTGGTGCTTTCATACAATTTTAAATTATATGATATGATGAACCAGCAGAGGCATTCATTGTTTCAGTCAGTTAGAAACAGTCAAATGAGCTCATAGAATTGTATCACTGAACTCTAATGCAGAGTTTAACAGAAGAAGACTAACTAACAATGCATACATCTTTTATGATATCAGTTGTAACATCACAATCTCTATTCTAACAATGTTTTCCAATTACACAGTCCTTTCTGTTTCCTAAATGCACCTATTTTCTCTCCATTAGGAAATGGAGCGTGTCATCCTCGCCACCCTCCGGTGGGATACAGCAGCAGTGACTCCACAGGACTTCCTCCCACATTTTCTTGCCTCCGTGGTGGGGAGAGGAGATGGAGACAGCAGTGACTCTGAGGGGGAGCTGCTCTCCACCACCCTGCGGCGGCACAGCGACACACTGGCTGCCATGTGTGCCTGTGACTCCCGCTTTCTTGGAGCACCACCGTCACTTGTTGCTGCAGCATCACTGAATTGTGCCCTGCGAGGTCTGGGCAGCAAGGGCCCCACTCAGCTAGCTGTTTTGAGTGAAGCACTGGCGGAGCTCTGCCAGGCTGACGTGGTGAGTACACCTGCAGTAATGAGGCTGTACATAGGCCTGTTTGTTTGATTTGATGGGATTTAGAGTGCAGGGGATGAGAGTTGTAGGAATAACCAGTTTTAAGCAAATAGACTTGGAATAATTGTGTTTTGAGTGACCTGTCTATTCTATACTGATGCCAAATGCAGAAAGAGACTTGCATCTGTAGAAAAAATCATTGATTTTCTCCATGTCTTGCATCACAGGTAGTGCTGCAGTGCTACAGCGAGATGATCGAATATGCCCTCCGACAGCGGCTGAGGAGTGGGCTTCAGCAGGGCCCCATGGAGAAAGATGAAGAGGTGGAGGACGAAAGGGCAGGGACACCTACTGACATGAGAGACATTGATTTCTAAACGCTGACTCGACCATTGCATTGAACATGTGAATCAATCAAAACTTCTCAAGCTAATCAGTCAAACTGATATGAATTGATTGTGACCTCAAAATGCTCCGACATGTTTTTATATTTTGGAATTATTTTATTGAGTGACTTGTTAATTTATTTTTTACTTTATTTATTGGTGAACAATTTTGCAGCTGTGTTTTCTATGTGCCATATTTTATTATCTATTTCTATTAATTTTATTGTAGGCCTAGATGTTATTTTGATGCATTATATTTATACATTTTATTTATTATCAGGTGCCATTGTTGACTCTTTTGATGTTAATTTATTTCAATTTGCCATGACTTTGTGTTTGTGTACTGAATTTAATATACTACAAATCTATTTTTGAAAGCAATTAAACGTTTAAAACGTTTGTACATACTCTGTTTCCATCATGTATTATTACCATTGGGATGATGATACCTTCACTTACTATTCATGGTGTTGTACTTCCGAGCTCTGAGGTCGTGTTACAGGTCAGCCACTAGTGTTACAAATATGTGGTGGCTGATTTCAACTAATAATATGCCAAATGTGTCATTATGAGTTGACATTACGTTCACCGTCTCAACTCGATAATAATCCCACCGCTCACTATCCACGAATAAAATCTGACGGCCCGTATTTCCGACGGTCCCTGAAGGCACCACTTTCTCATGACGTCAATTTTATCCGACGCAAATACAGATCGTGCTTTGGAGCATTGGATCAGATATTAACAACGTACTTGCGGTAAGAGACGAGCTATTTAAAGATAAGTTGTGCTATAACAGATGTTAAACTGTTGTGTTAACACCGGCGGAGTTTAAAGGAGGACTTCTGGGAAACATCGTGAGATATAACGTTAAGAGGGAAACCGCAGGAAGAACTGCGCAGTGGCTAGAAGCGTCTTTAGCTTACTGCACAACCAGAGCCTCTTGCATCACCTGTAAAATTCCGTTTTAAAGAACGAATAGTGTTTAAACATGTTGTGAAAGACGAACATTAATTCCCGTATGCCGCAGGTTTAATCTGGTGGTTATCCCACCTACGGAACGGTCGGTTTTTGTGTCCTCCTTGATCTGCATCCGTTTTAAAGTTAGCTATAGCTGCAAACGCGAATAATATCATATAATACTAAAACTATGTTTAAATAATGTATTTCATTATGTAATAATCCTGGCGTCTGAAGCTACATTTATGCTGTTAATTCAGCTCTCAGAGACGTTTTTCCTGCTGAAAATGGACCCATACGCCAAACTACACTTAAAAAAACATGTTATTAATGTTGCCACTTACAAGCAAAGGCTCACACGTCTAAAAATAAAAACTCCAGACCTTTACTAATATCTAATAAGTCTGCTGGTGAATTCGGCACACAGTGTACACACCAGCCAGCAACCAATTTCACTCAAATTCATTAAAAAAAAAAAGCTGCTAAATTGCTGTTCTCAGTTAGTATCTATGTTTGATGTACAGAATTATCCAGGTTACGATCAGTGTTACTGTCTGTCCAGGTGTGCTTTGGACTTGAGTCATACAGTACTTGGTGACAAATAGTAACATATTATGATAAACACTGTCTGCACTTTTTGATGAAAGTGGAGTGGCCATTGTTTTCCTCGTCTTCCATTACATTACACGATTTAGAGATCAAATGCAGCAGTGTTCAGGCCACTGTAATCCAACCCTTGTATATTAACTTACTATACTACTCAGTTACAAAAGGCACACCTGTGCTGACAGCAGGCAATCACCAGAAACCCTAATATTGGTATAATAAGGTATACCGGATACAAATAAACATGTAAACTCTAAGTTTTTAAAGAAAATATTATCAAAAAACAGAATTAGACACATAAATAGTATTGTTTTATACTTTGCATGCGAACTTGTGTACTTGGATAGGCTTATTTACGATCTAACTAATTCAAGAGTGCATAGCAGTTTGTGAAAGGTCCAAATATCAAAGGATGAATCTGGATTATTTTTTTAATGAAGCGTACCTGGCATACAAGGCATTGCACCAGATACTACTGTTATACAGGAGAACTGACACTCTACAAGGCATTCATCTTTCATAAATTCTCCCACAAGATTGTAGCTTTTCAGCCCAAATGCATACAGTATTGTAATATCCCTTGTTGTTTATTTTGAAGGAGGATGAACGTAAAACCTGGCTGGCTGCTGCTTCTGTCCATCTCTGCTGGGGTCTGGTCAGTGCCTATCGATCGCAATGTAGCCAACGAGGAAGTTAAAGAGGAAGTGCAGGAGGAGAATGGGGTAATGGTCTCAGTAGTCTCAGTCATCCGCCATTTGATGTGTTTTCGGAACATTCGTTTTAGTTTAGAGATTCAGTTTGTTGTGAATAACCCTGTCCTTTACAACCCACTCTTGCAGGACACTGGCCTGTACTACGACCGGTATCTCAGAGAGGTGATTGAGGTTCTGGAGACGGACCCTCACTTCAGAGAGAAACTGCAAACGGCAAACACAGAAGACATCAAGGTCAGCGCTCTTTTCTTACTGTTCCTTCATTCTTCCCCGTTCACCTTTCACAGGCAGCAAGAAGATTGAGAAATTGAATCTGCTCTTCTTACCTGTGACGTCTTTTGTGTCCTCCATCAGAATGGTCGTCTCAGTAAAGAGCTGGACCTGGTCAGTCACCATGTCAGGACTCGCCTGGATGAGCTGAAGCGCCAGGAGGTTTCTCGCCTCCGGATGCTGCTCAAGGCTAAACTGGACAGCACTAACGTACAGAGTGAGTGGACTCGTTTTCCTGTAGACCACTGCAGAGATAATGAGTGTGCATGTGTTTTTACCGCTATAGATGGATTGTATTAGATTTAATTAAAGATCCTGGTGGAAAAATTGGATGCTTGCCATAATAGA